CATTATTTACAAAATTTGAATTCTGGAGGATTTAGGAACTGGGACTTCCACGATGAGGCTTTGAACATTGAAGCTTATGGTACTGCTGAACCTCCTAGTTATGATATTAGTAAAATTACAGTTCCTGTTAGTGTTTTCCATGGAGAGAACGACTGGTTGGTGTCTGTTACTGTAAGTATTCAACAAATAAAAATAAAAACTTTAATATTATGATTTACTGAAAATTTTAAAATTTTCAGGATGCTAAGAGTCTGATTTCTAAGCTACCCAATGTGATCAATGCTAAACTGGTGGACTACAAGGCTTTCACTCATATTGATTTCATCTGGGCTATTGATGTGGTGGAGTTGTTGTACAACGACGTCATTGAAATAATGGAACAATACAAATAAACAAACTACTTTAAAATATCAATAAAACGTTTAAAAATCTATTTATTTACAACATTTCTATTCTATCATATTTAATCTTTATTTCTCTTTGTTTTGGAATGCTTATCACGTTCATGTTTCTCAATCACTTGTAAGAAGTTAGGATAAATGTGTTTTTGGGCTGTGAAAGAAAGTAGAAAGTCAAAGTGATTGAATAATTCGTCGGGCACTTTGTAGTAGTGTATCACATTTGGTAGTGCTTTATGTAGAACATCAATATCCTAAAAATAATAAATTTGCATAAAATATTTACATATTTTTGTTAATTTTGTTAATTATTACTCTTTGTGATGTCAACCAATCATTCCCAGCCCAAAATATGGCAACAGGGGCAGTTGTTCGATTTAAGAAGTACAAAGGCGGAGTTTCCTGTCCGTATTTTTGAATGTTTTGCAGTATTCCATGATCATACTGACGAAAAACATCTGAATTTAATACTTGTGTATAATGTAGCAGTTGTTTCGTTGAAGATCCACCAGGGAAATGCGTAAAAGTTATTGGCAACAATGTCTAAAATAAAAAATAAAGATAATATTAATTCTTTTAAAGATATTTTCGAATTATGCAAGAAAAGAAATTAAATATTTTTGTATAATATTGCTTTTCAGATACAAAAAGTTCTACTTTAAACACGAACTGTCAAAACCGTGACACTAGACTCTCAGTCAATCAGTTACAAGTTGCAACTCAAAGAAAACCAATAAAAAATTGTTTCAGAACGCGAAAAACACGTAAAACAATACAATTTCTAAAATAAATAAATTTTTAAAACCTTACAGTGTTTAATCCTGGTCTATTAAATCCACCTGACAACCCAAATGGAATATCACAAAACCGTTGAGTCCATGCCCCATCCCGACAGTACACATTCCCAAAAATAGTCCATAAATCATTCCTTGCAAAAATTTCATGATAACCAATGACATCAGTAAACCACTTATAAAAAAAGAACACCCACATTTAATATAATAATTTGTAAGTCAATATGTGCATGCATTTACCTCGAGAAAACCTTGGAGCCTCGCAGGTATATTGAACGCCCATGACTTAATCTCCTTCGTGTGCACGACTGGAGCCAGCGCCAGCAT